GCTCGGACGGGTGGCAGGAGGAGGCGGGCTGGCAGGAGCTGGCGTTCTGGGCACCCACCTGGTCCAGTAGATGCAGGCGGCCCACGTAGGCCTGCTCCGTCTCCAGCAGCTCACGCATTATCTTTTTCTCCTCTGGCTCCTGCAGGAAAAGGGGGCCTCAGGATCCTGCCTGGGGCTTGGGCCCAGCAGGCAGCGGTTAGTGCCTGCCCTTGCGTGGGCCCCGCGGGAAGGACCTCAAGGCACCTCCTGCCTCTCTGCCCAGGCGCCAGGCGGGAGAGCTGGGCCACCTTAGGGTTCCAGCCCTGGCCACCATCCGGCTGGGGCCACATGGCGGTGACCTGGTGATGGCCTGCGTTGGGGGCCCCCTTGCTTTGCTGTAGCCTTAGCTTGCGGTGTAACTGTATTTAGAAACAGGGATCTTAGTGGGGGTCATTAGGTGAAATGAAGCCACAGGAGTGGAGCCTAAGCCTGTAGCATTTGGTCCTCAGAAGAGGAAGAGACCAGGATGCAGGTTCCCAGTGTGAAGTCCACAAGGAGCCAGTGGGAAACAGGGACTTCCTTAAAAGCCAGGCCATTCCTGGCTCAGTGGCCCTGGGCAAGGTGTTCTTGTTGTTTGAGACAGGGTCCTGCTACATCATTCAGGCTGACCTTGTACTCGCTTTGTAGCTCAGGTTGGCCTTGAGTTCTCAGAGACTGTCCTGCCTCAGCCTCCCAAGTGCTGGAATTAGAGGCATGTGCCATTAAATTCAGGTCTTTAAACTTCCATTTTGGGGCCAGGGAGATGGCTCAGTAGAATAAGCGCTTCCCTGGCAAGCGCAAGGGCCTGAGTTCAATGCCCGGTTCCGCCAATAAATAAATAAATTAATTAAATAAAAAATAAAACAAACTTCCATTTCCTGGCTAAAAACTCCCACCATGAGGGACCCAGGGAGGAGTGTGGCAGGTAGGGGGAGATGAAAGTGACTCTGGCTGTTAGAGGGGCCTGGTCCAGCTTCTGGTGGAGTTCTGCTCACACTGGATGCATACCTGTGACTCCAGCTCAGGCTGGGTGCCCCGCTGGTAAGACTTTCTCCAGGCCCCGCTGGACAGTTTGTCCTTCAGGGAATTCAGGTAGCTCCTGCTCACGGTCCTGGGCCGAGACCTTGGGGCCTCCTCTGCAGAGGACGTCTCCCAGGGCCTGGGGGACAGGGGTGGCCTTGGCCCCTGAGGAGGCTGAGTGGCCCCTGGGCTGTGAACACTGAGCGCTGCTCCTGGGGTCCTGAGAACAGAGCAGGTCGGAGGGCTCCTTGGTGGGGAGCAGGAAGCACAGGAGCAGAGCCAGGGAGGAGGGAAAGCTGGGGTGACAGTGTGAGCCACAGGGTGTGGCAGCCTCTGGGCACCAGGTGCTCTACAGGAACTCTCCGAGGAGGATCCCAATCCTCCCTCCCAGCACCCTTCCAGGGGGCTTAAGTCTCCAAGTGAGTCAAGGCAGGCAGTGTCTCTGGGGAGCTGTTCACGTCCCTGTTTAAAGTGCGGCTTCTGGCCAGGCGTGGTGGCACAGGCCAGCCTGGGCTACAAAGTGAGCTCAAGGCTAGCCTGAACTGCAGAGTGAGACCCTGTCCCA